ATATATTTTTATATATATATATATATATATATATATATATATATATATATATACAGTATAGATAGATAGATAGATTGATTGAGTACTGCTTTTTGGACAGAATATATATATATTTGAAGTCTGTAAAAATATTTAGAAGTTTATTTTGCTCACCAAAGCAGTATTTTCATCTTTGATCAAAAATACAGTAAAAACAGTAGTATTGTGAAAAAAATTTTTATAATTTAAAATAAATTGTTTTCTGCCTTAATATATATTTTAAAATGTAATGCATTCCTGTGAAGCAAAGCTGAATTTTCAGCAGTCTTTACTCCAGTCTTCAGAGTCACATGATCTTTCAGAAAAACTTATAATAAGCTCATTTGATGCTCAAGAAACATTTCTTATTGAAAACCGTTGTGCTGCTTCATTTTTGTTTTTGGTGGAAATGGTGATACTTTTTTTGTGGATTCTTTGATGAATCGAGTTTAAAATGTATTTGAAATAAAACATTGTAACAATGTAAGCGGCTTTACTGGCACTTTTGATCAATTTAATGTGTCCTTGCTGAATAAAACAATTTTTTATTAGAAAAAAAAATCATACTGACCCCAAATGTTTGAACAGTATTGTGTGTAAATATGTAATACACATACGGTATATTAAATTCATATTAAATAAATTACAGTGCAAGTGATGCAGTGAAAGGCGAAGGTCTTCAGGAGGGTGTAGACTGGCTGCAAGGTAAATACACTTATTCCATGTTTTGTGCATCTAATTTCCTTTTTGTCTTTGAATTATTAGTTTCTACAGAGATGAGCTTTAATAAGGGTGCCAAAAAATGTATAAACTAGATAAACTGTTTGAAATGTTCAATGCCTTTTATATTCTTGTGTTTTATTTCACCCATAGAACAAATTGCACAGTAAGTATTGAAGTTTAAGTTCCCAGATGTGTTGAGATCCTTGGTTAATTGTACAGTTCAATTTAACTTTTGGGCTGTATTTATTCTTGCAACAATTTACACCTCATTTCGGCTTTATAGAAGAAATTCAAAGGCAAATAATCTTTTGATGGTATCTCAAAGAGTAGATACGGCCCAAAACTATTTCAGACTCCCTCTCCTTCTTGTTGTTTGAGGTGCATTTGAGTAAGTCGATAACAAATAAATGAAGTCCACAGACATCTGTTCTCCTCTACCCAGTGTTTTAGTTTGGTCCAGTTAATGCAACAATTTAAGATCTCACCTTTATCTGAAAATGCATCAAAATGTATAATGATTTAAATCCTTGTTCTGTTTTTTTCCCCCTCCCATTAACAGATCAAATCAGAGCGATGAAAACGTAAAACCCTCCTGAGATATAAAAACAGTCAAGGTCACCAGCTGCAATGGCGGAGCCAGACAAAAAAGATCTTCACCTTTTGTGCTGATGTTAAAATCAATTAGGTTGGTAGAGTAAAAACATTTTGGCTTTGATTATGGCCCTGTTTGCACTATGTATATGAATATCTGTCTCAGTTGATCTGATCACAAGTGGTCAGTCAAGACTTTTATTTTTAAACATTATTCTGACATTTGTTTTCTTTTAAATCCACACATAACTAGTGAAGTTTAACCTATTAGCCCAATAATTGATTGACAGATTCCCTGTTGTCCAGGAAGCATAAGAACACATTCGAATTTAAACAAAAAAATTCAATTTGGCCATATACATTTCTGACTACGGAGTACGATCAAAAACATTTCATCACTTTTGATCACCTGAGCGATTATGCTAATAACAGGTGTAAATTTGTCTGTGACGATGCATCTAGTATTTGATCATTGCATCTTCTGTCTTGATGAATACATACACTGCACTTCTCTCTTGATGAATTACACTACACTTCTTGGCTGCCAATGCTGTAAAGTAATTCTGTTGAGAAACTCACTGTAACAGGTTTCTCAGACAGCAGAGCACAATGGCTAATATTTTATAGCTTAGCTATGTTGTTGATTGGATAGAAAACATTGTATGCATGTTGCCTCTAAATAGTATGAAAATGAAAAATTATCCTAATTAACCTCAAACGGTCACAAACGAAATGTTTCTCTTTGTTCTGGAATTATTTATTTTCCATAAACTTTTTGTTTTAAAAACATATGTAAAGGAATTGTTGCTGCATTTTTGTCTTGTGTTTTGACAAAGTACATTTTCACATATTAACTTATATTCTACACAAACCGTTTTTAGCTGATTTTTAGCAATGTGTTTTTTTTTTCTTGTTGTTTTATTCATTAATAAGGGATCTTGTAATAGAATGTTTAAAAAATGAACTAAATCTGGGGCTTAGTCTGAGTATGAATGCTATCTCCATACAGTATATGTCTCTCTCTCTGTATTTTATTTTTTCAATAATCAACTGACCGGTCAATGCCAAAGTGTGGCACACGGCTTCATCCTTCTTTCTCTTTAAATAATCAGTGTGGCCAGAGCTCTTTGAGTCTGAACTGTGTGAAGGACAGCTGTTATGGGGTGGCTGATCCATGGCCGTGATTATAGTTGTGGAAAATCCAGTGCACTTGCTCATTAAGACCACAACATCAGCACGGTCATATAGGCTACTGAAAATGGCAGAATCTCATCTAATCATGGTGCCATCTGCCGTTTTTATGGAATCGCACTCATTTTATGTCTTTCCGGCCACTGAAATACTTAGTGGTGCCAAGACTGCACTGTGCTGTTATTGGAGACGTCAACTGGAGCTTCATCTCATTTAATTATGTGTGAGGATCAACAGAACACCTGCACAAATATGAGTGTGATATTGCTGTATTTCAGTATATTGAAAGAGTACTTTACATTTTAGACCCAAGTCACTTGGTTACTTCACTTATTTTTCTCCATCAAAGAAATGAGCTCCAAACAAAACCAAAGCAGGATCTATGCTGCATGACACGTGTTTTGTTTCTGAAAGAAACATCTAAAGGAATGATTCAATAATGTGCTTCTAGCACTAATACTTGTCGCCACCTACTGATGTAACCATGTGACCAGAAACAGTCAATGAAGAATCCTTATCACTAATGTACAGGCTGACAGTATATTTATTGTGTGATACAATATAAACATAACATTCTATGTATATCAGAACTCTATATGTTGTAGCGTAAGAAGCTTTTGTGGCAGAATGTATCTGGTATCTGTTGTACCTATTACATTTGTAAAAGGAATGCAGCACGGTCACTTTTTGTTTAATAAGTTTGTTGCATGCAGGTTAAATTTCTCTGAGTGGAGGAGAGAATCTTCCTTGCTAAAGCAAAGTAATTGTATTTACAAATTCATTCACCCAGACCCATCTCTAACACCATAGCTGCAAAGCAGCCAATTCTAAGTTAATTTAATAGCATTAAAGTGATTAAATTTCACCCAAAAATAAACATTCTGTCCAATCATTTTCTCTCTCGTATCATTCCGAACCTACGCCTTTCTTTGAAAGAAGATATTAAGATTAATCTCTCAGTTTTCCTCCTTCCATGCAGTGAAATGCATAGTTAACCTTCAAATTATCCTCTTTTGTGTGTCACAGAAATCAAGCAGATTTTGACCGATTTAAGGGTAAGGAATTGATAACAGAATTGTAATTTATGGGCTGTCCCTTTAATCTAACAGCAAATGGACAATATGCAGTATTTCCATCTCCCGTCTGGTGCAAGTGAAGCGGCAGCACTAGAGACAGACTGCAGATCCCCGAGAGAAAAAAAGTGACAGCAGATATAAAACACAGAGGAGACTCTGAACTCTTTGTCAGATCGTCTCGTTTAGCCATGCGTGACAGACGTGACGCTGATACGGGACCCTGTAGCTTCTAAGTGCCCACTGCTTGTCACTGTCCATCTCCCTTTGTAAATAGCTGAGAAAGTTTCGTTCACAGCAAACGTTCACATGCAGTTACCGCATACAAGGGCCGCTGGTTAGTTCCCTCTTCTGCCGCTAGATGGCAGTAACACTCTATCTGTAATTCACTAATGAAAGACAGGTAGGCCTAGTTAAACAGGAGATGAAATGTACACAATATGAATTTCTTTATCTTCCTAAAATTATTTTTCTGAAATGATTAGGTTTATTTTGTTTTTTTCGCAAATGCATCACCCGAGTCGCATTACGTAGCGCACAGGCCTACCTATTATTAACTAGGTTGTTGTAGGTGTAAATACACGTTTTTAAATCGAATATATTTAGTTTTGTTGTTTGTTATTATTATTGCTAACTGTTTTGTCAAATCTGCTGTTCATTTGTCCATGAAAAAAATGCATGTTCATCTCTCAGTGACACTTCAAAGAACTCGAAACAGATGTGAAGTGTGCTCATTAGCTGAGCAAAATCTGTGCACCGTGACTGTTCCCATGCACCGAGGGATCTAGAAGAAAACATCAGGATACGACACTTTATTTCAAGTGATTCCAGATAAACACAGGGACGTGCACAGACATTTTGAGGGGCAGGGGCTCAAGTGGAAAAAAGGGCACTTCTCATATTTATTTTAATTTTTTTCTAAACAAAATGTTAAATATATTAGGGGTGTCCGATATTGACAAAAATATATATGAATATTTTCTGAGATTTTATCGATAACGATAATTAGATTCTATTTTGCTGAGTGTGTTTTTGTGCTGATATCTTAAGGACTACCGTGGACAGCAGACTCCTAAAGTTTTTGATATGCTGCATATTCTGTTTGTGATCAGTTCACAGCAGTGATAGAAATTAATCTTTTCCAATAAGTTTAAATAGATTTTTTTGTTACCTTTTATGGGCATTTTTACCTTTATAAAGCCCTTTTTTCTAAAAGTGTGCATTATCTTTTCAGTCAAATTCTTAAATTGAATCAGTCAATTAGAATAATAAGACATTTGGGCTGTTACCAAGCAAATTAAATCAGTACTGACAAAATTAACCTTTGCAATGCAAAGGAAACACAGAAGCTGCAATACAAATCATTGCAAAGCAACTTTACAGCCAATTAAGTTTCTACAATATTTAGTGGTAGCTTATCAGTGGTGACTGTCAGTTAATGTACATATGGCAGAAATGTACGGAAAAATCAATTAAAGACATAATCAAACAGATGATGAACACTGTTAACAGCAATTATTATATGATGCAATCAAACTTATAGCAAAATTTGGTAGTTCTGCATGTTGTTTCAGGGTTGGCATCATCTGAGGTCCTCTGAGGGGTTGCCATCATCTCTTCTCAGGTATTCTGGACCTAGACTGAAGCTTTTGTAAATCTTACATCCCGTGGCAAAAAACAGAGAAACAAATAGAGACATAATTAGCGTAGCTGCTGTTCCAACCAAGCAAAATTGATTTGTTTAACCCAAACTAAAGAATAATAATGTGCATTTGATCAGATATAACTGCAGTACAAGATTATGAGATGCATTATTTGAATGCTTGGCCAAAGAGATGTGTCTTTAATCTAGATTTAAACAGAGAGAGTGTGTTTATTTATTTATTTATTTTATAAAAAAATGAAAAGATACTTTAAATGTAAAATTAAAACTGCCAGTATGGCAGCAAGTCACTGTTAATAAGTGAGTCATTGCGATTGAACCGAATCATTTAAATGGTTGATTCATTCAGGAACAACAAGTCCTCTGCGCAATGTGACTTTGCTGTAGTCTGGAATTGAACTGCTGGTTTTGTCTGGTCAGAGGAGAACTGGCCCCCCGACTGAGCCTGGTTTCTCCCAAGGTTTTTTTTCTCCATTCTGTCACCGATGGAGTTTCGGTTCCTTGCCGCTGTCGCCTCTGGCTTGCTTAGTTGGGGACACTTAATTTCCAGCGATATCGTCGACTTGATTGCACAGATACTATTTAAACTGAACTGAGCTGTATGATGACATCACTGAATTCAATGATGAACTGCCTTTAGCTGAAAATCGAGTGTTTACTATTGTCATTTTGCATTATTGACACAATATTTTCCTAATTAATGCTGTACAGTTGCTTTGACACAATCTGTATTGTTAAAAGCGCTATATAAATAAAGGTGACTTGACTTGACAAAACAGCATCATGTTGCTCAGAGACGCAAACTGGAATTATATATGTTGGCGAAATAGAGCAAAAACATTCAATATTATGTCTAAAATGTAAGTGTCTTAATATTAAATTCTTGTTTATTGAACTGCTGTATAAAATCAATATCACATTTGTAATCATGCTGCTTTTTGGTGGGGAAAAAATGTCAGTGTTAGCGTGATACTGATTAACTATGTGAAATTATATAAATATATGCATTTCTGCCCCCATATCTTGAATTTTGTGATCATTCTAAATGCATTTTAATAAACTGAATCATGCAGTGAAATAACGCGCACTGGTCTACTAGACTTCCTATCGTCTTAAGCCGGGCTCACACTGTGCAATTTTTAAAAGTCCTTTAGGATTGTACTTGTCAGACTGTACGAATATGATGATCACGTCACACTGTGGGATCTCAGTTGTCATTAATGTCAGACTGTACGACAGTCCCAAAAGAAAACTTGTCCGGAGTTCTACATTATCAACCCATTCACGTTCAGCGATCACGAACTGCATTGCACGCGGGGCAGTAATATTGGCCATCATTAAAAGTATAAGGAGTTTATGCGGTTAGAGGAAATCTCTAGCATTAATTCTGATCATGGCTTGTCTTGAAAAACGAAGACAGTTTGACATTCGTCGTAGGAGAGCTAAACTTTAGCTAACACACATGGTAGCTCTAATTGAGTCATGGATGTTAGCAAGACAAATTAACTATATTTGCCTTTTGTCTTTTGGATAATTAGCAGTAAATTCGAGGCACAGGTAGCTTAGTCTTTTGTTCATCACCACTCACTTCCACACCAAGACAAACACAACTGGAAAGGGAGGAAGGGCTTCACTTCTGCTCTCTCTGCCTGTCTGTGATGTGATGTGCGGATCAATGTGTGCTACACTGCTGTGCTGCGCGGAGACGCGGAGGGGTGAAAGGCATCGGCACTCGACAGAGTCTCAACATCTCCCGACCCGACCTGATATTTTGATTTTTATTTGTTTGACAGGGAAAGCTGTGTGCAAACAGAAACACGCATATATACATATATTAATTTATAAAAATAAAAAATAAAATAAAACCTCCCCAGAAAAAAGGGCACTTGATCTCCCGAGGAAGAAAAAGGGCAGGTGCTCAAGCCCCCTTTTATGTCTATGTGTGGGTGCCTGGATAAACGTGAAAAAAAATGTAAAATACCTAGTTACTCTCCTATCAGACTTTTTAACAATCTTTGTTCTCCTTCTACTGTTTTTAAACGGACAGATAACTTTTCTCGAAATGCCAGGTCTTTTAGTTTTTAGAACCTGTGCCAGAAAAAGACACATTTGCTGTTGAATACTGTTGAGGGATCTTGTCCA